GGATAAAGGAGCCACTGGGGTGCTGTGGCACTCATGGCCGAAGAGCTTCAGGGCTGGTGGGGGCTAACGGAGGTAGTGGAACGTGCTGCCTCCCATGGTGGAATAGCCCTCAGTCAGGCTCCACCCTCCAAAAAAAAAGGGACAAGGGCACTGCAGGGATGGCGTGAAGGGGAAATGCCTTTAAGTGGAATAAATGCCAGCCGACAATTAAAGGCTGGGCCTGCAGGGACGCTCTCCCAACCCCCGGCCGGGCCCTCCTCACCTGTTTGTGGAGGCCGCTCCGGAGCCTCGGGTCCTCCCAGGTAGTGGTGCCCGTGTTATGGTCGATATAGTACGGCCAGCCGCTGTGAGGGTCCCGCTTCATCTGCCAGCCCCGAGGCAGGCTGGCCACACGTCCCGGGGCTTCTCCCTCCATGTCCGGCCCGGTTAGCAACTGAGGCCCGGGACCTGGGACTGCTCCTGCCTCCGCCTCTGGGCTCCGCTCCGTCTCCCATACGTCACCCCACGCACCCACCCCTCCCCTCTGATTGACATGCCCGATCACCAATCACGTCTGGCTTCGTCACACGCCGTCCAGTCACCGGCCACTTTGGGGGCGGGAAAAGGTCTTCTATTGGGCAGAGTGGCTGTCCGTCACCGGACCACGCCCCTACACCCATCCTTGTCCTTCCTACTTCCGCACCCAATCCCTTCGATTGACAGCCCCACTCACCAATCACATTGCCCATAGTCACACACCGTCCATTCACACGGCGCATAGGGCGGGACAAGGTCTTCTATTGGAGAAGATGGCCGTCGGTCACAGGGACACGCCCTACCACCACCCATTCCAACCCCCACCCCGCCGCCCTCTGACTGACGGTTCTATCTACCAATTACATTGCCAAACGTCGTACACAATATCCAACAAAACGGTGCAGAGGGCTGGGCCGGACTTTCTATTGGTTTACTGGGGTGTCGGTCACTAGGACAGGTTCCCGTCAATCTCCCAATCACACACACACACCCCTTTCCCAGTCCCTCCCTCCCTCCCTCCCTCTCCCCCCCTCTCCCTCCCTCACCCCCCCCCTCCCTCAATCCCAGTCCCTCCCTCCCTCCCTCCCTCTCTCACTCATTCCCTGTTCTTCCCTCAATCTCAGTCTTTCCCTCATTCTCACCCTCACTCACTCATCCCACTCCCCCCTCCCTCCCTAAATCCCCTACCCTCCCTCTATCACTTACTCCCTCAATCCCAGTCCCTCCCTCCCTCCCTCTCTGTCCCTCCCTAAATCCCAGTCTCTCACTCCCTCCCTCCCTCTCCCTCAATCCCAGTCCCTCACTCCTTCACTCCCTCAATCCCAGTCCCTCCCTCCCTCTCTCTCACTCATCCCAGACCTCCTCCCTCTCTGTCCCTCCCTAAATCCCAGTCTCTCACTCCCTCCCTCCCTCTCCCTCAATCCTAGTCCCTCACTCCTTCACTCCCTCAATCCCAGTCCCTCCCTCCCTCTCTCTCACTCATCCCAGACCTCCTCCCTCTCTGTCCCTCCCTAAATCCCAGTCTCTCACTCCCTCCCTCCCTCTCCCTCAATCCTAGTCCCTCACTCCTTCACTCCCTCAATCCCAGTCCCTCCCTCCCTCT